TCAATCATCTTCCTCATCCACGCAGCACTATCCAGGGCTAGGAATCCGTACTAAATCAGTATCTGTCGCTTCCGGATCCCTGCCTTGTGGCCTCTGATTTTTCATTTAAATACATGACTTGAATTATACTGTGGGGGGAGGTGGGGAGGTGGGTGTAGCAGAAGGTAGGCGGACTCTGAGTAGTACATGTGTGCTAGGTCTGCCACCAGTTTCTTACTTTCTTGTGAATGTTCCTCTGATCCTGACATTTGACATTCTTTTTCCAATGTACTGGAACTACGCATATATTAGCTTAACAGAATTACCGATGCAAGTATGGAGAAAGAAGCACTTTAAAAATGATTTAAAATATGCAATAAACATTCACACTTTATTTTTTTAAGGTTTGAACAGAAAGAGTGAGTTTTTTGAAGGGAAGACTGGAAAAGAAGTCACATTGACACTTTAAAGAAAAGGGAATTTTATAAAGGCCTGTGGCCTTTCTCTAAGTCTCTAGTATTCTATTGAGACATTTACACAACAATCATTAATTTTCAGTATCATTTGATAACAACCAATTACCAGATGGACTGACTGCTGGTTCCAAAACGCTGACATCAATGCTGCACTGCAGTGCATTACCTGTGTGCCTCTTCTAGGCCCAGTCAGTCTTTGTTACGCCCACCAGTAACTTTTCCCTGATGGATCTAGATTGCGAACAGGGTTCGTTGTGAGTGGGACTTTACTACCAGCAAGTAAAGAAAGCCAAGAGTAGAGCTTGCCCTTTGGACTTTGCATCTAAGTTTGCCTCTCTCTGCCTCTCTCTTGGGGCTTAAGTTTCAGCTTCTCTCCTGACTTGATTTCACCAGTTTCCAGGTCCTTCAGATGGATCTCTGAACTTTGGATTTGGGACGTAAACTGGCACCCACAACTCTGTGAGCCATTTCCCCTCACACTTTGAGTTCTGTGTGGTCATTAAAGTGAATTGCAGATCCCTGAACATAAGGGTAGCAGAGGCGGTTGCTATCAGGGATAATGGAGCAGTATAGCCTTTTTGAAAAGTGAGACGCTTGGGATATATTTAACCTTCACCTCCTTGGGACTAGTCTTTATTAATTTTTATAAAAGAAATTAGTTCCACAAATAATACACTGCTCCTTATCCATCACACAAGATTCAGTTAAAATAGATGAAACAAAGATTAAACAACTTTAAAGATTAGAGAGAAGATGGCGGACTGAATAGGGATCTTGGGAATTGAACAATAACCTGGCCATGAGTTCCCCGATGGTACAGTGGTACACTCTGGGCTGCTCACCACAAAGCCAGCAGTGTAAAACCACCAGGCACTCCATGAGAGAAAGCTGGGGTTGCTACTCTGGTTAAGGGTGGCAGTCTCAGAAACCCACAGTGGCATTCCTTCCCTGCCTATAGGGTCGCTGTGAGCCGGAATGAAGGGAGGGGGAAAATGCGGAGCTGATATTAAGGGCTCAAGTAGGAAGCAAATGTTTTGAGAATGATGATTGCAACAAATGTACAAATGTGCTTGACACATGGATGGATTGTGATAAGAATTGTACGAACCCCCAATAAAATGATTTTTTTTTTTAAAAAAGAGAGAGAGAGAGAAGTGGCTCATGCAGTTGTGAAGACCTGTAGTTTCAAATCCATGGGTCAGACCTCAGGCTGGAGGCTTCTGACTCATGGTTGCTGATAAACCACAAATCAGTAGGTGAAATGGCAGGCTTTGGGAGGTGGCAAATCCAAAACCTGCATGCCAGATGTCTGGCTGCTGAATCACATCTGAAGAACCAGAAGTCAGAGGAGTATGAGTCCAATGTAGGATCTCGTTAAAGTAAGCTTTGCCAGAACATCTGTATATATTGTATGCAGGCCACACCCCATGGACACTCCCCTTATAACTGGTTTTCTGTTCATAACAGATCCCATAATAGGCGAGGATTACATCATATATCTGCCAAATTACAGTCATGGCCTAATCAAGTTGACACATAACTGTAATCATATAAAACAAGACTGTTATTAACATGATTCCAGAGTCATAAAAAACACCAGCTAGAACAATTTAAAAGCCATGTGAATTTGTTTCAGCTCATTTGTTTAGGGTTCACTACACAAGGATAAACATTTTTAAAACTCTTTTAATATAGGTTCTAATCAGGAGAGCTATTGGAAGGAGAACGGAATGAGTCAGGCTTAAAACAGTACCACCTAGAACTTTCATATTCAGTGATTTAATTGCGAGAGAGGGGACTGCACTTAGCCCTTATTCACATCGATGCTTTTGTCCAGACACTTGGTGATAGGAAATGGCACCAAATCACATTTCCTCTTTGTTGTGCAAACATCTTGCTCAAATGGCTCCAGCCAGGGTAGGTTCAAGCTGGGAACTAAAGGTCTTCCTATTTTATGGCAACAATTAGCTACACTGCATTGCCACTTCTTCACTGGAACTTTCAGCGCAATCATTGTGCCTATCCATCAGAGGTGAACAGCTCACAAAGATTCTTGCTCAGCAGTATTGCACAGTAGTTGGTACCAAGTCAAGTCTCCTATTTCGACAGGGTAGGTTGCCTCTTCATCAGGGCTTCATCAATGCTGGAGCAACATGCTGAACACCTCCGTTCGTGGTGACTGACCTGGAAGGGAAGGAACAAAGGATGTTTGAACTTCAGAATATAGAAATTCATAAACAGAACGCCCATTGAATCCTAACGAGGTTCAAAAAACCCCTCAAACTCACTCCATTGAGTTGATCCCAACTCCTAGTGACCCTATAGGACAGAATCGAAGTGCCCCTGGGAGTTTGAGTTCTCTTGTGGAGCAGCTGGTGGTTTGAATTGCCGATCTTGCCGTGAGCAGCCCGATGCCTAACCTACTACAATGCCAGTGCGCCTTAACAGTGTCAAATGCTCTTACCTATGAAATCAATCATCTTCCTCATCCACGCAGCACTATCCAGGGCTAGGAATCCGTACTAAATCAGTATCTGTCGCTTCCGGATCCCTGCCTTGTGGCCTCTGATTTTTCATTTAAATACATGACTTGAATTATACTGTGGGGGGAGGTGGGGAGGTGGGTGTAGCAGAAGGTAGGCGGACTCTGAGTAGTACATGTGTGCTAGGTCTGCCACCAGTTTCTTACTTTCTTGTGAATGTTCCTCTGATCCTGACATTTGACATTCTTTTTCCAATGTACTGGAACTACGCATATATTAGCTTAACAGAATTACCGATGCAAGTATGGAGAAAGAAGCACTTTAAAAATGATTTAAAATATGCAATAAACATTCACACTTTATTTTTTTAAGGTTTGAACAGAAAGAGTGAGTTTTTTGAAGGGAAGACTGGAAAAGAAGTCACATTGACACTTTAAAGAAAAGGGAATTTTATAAAGGCCTGTGGCCTTTCTCTAAGTCTCTAGTATTCTATTGAGACATTTACACAACAATCATTAATTTTCAGTATCATTTGATAACAACCAATTACCAGATGGACTGACTGCTGGTTCCAAAACGCTGACATCAATGCTGCACTGCAGTGCATTACCTGTGTGCCTCTTCTAGGCCCAGTCAGTCTTTGTTACGCCCACCAGTAACTTTTCCCTGATGGATCTAGATTGCGAACAGGGTTCGTTGTGAGTGGGACTTTACTACCAGCAAGTAAAGAAAGCCAAGAGTAGAGCTTGCCCTTTGGACTTTGCATCTAAGTTTGCCTCTCTCTGCCTCTCTCTTGGGGCTTAAGTTTCAGCTTCTCTCCTGACTTGATTTCACCAGTTTCCAGGTCCTTCAGATGGATCTCTGAACTTTGGATTTGGGACGTAAACTGGCACCCACAACTCTGTGAGCCATTTCCCCTCACACTTTGAGTTCTGTGTGGTCATTAAAGTGAATTGCAGATCCCTGAACATAAGGGTAGCAGAGGCGGTTGCTATCAGGGATAATGGAGCAGTATAGCCTTTTTGAAAAGTGAGACGCTTGGGATATATTTAACCTTCACCTCCTTGGGACTAGTCTTTATTAATTTTTATAAAAGAAATTAGTTCCACAAATAATACACTGCTCCTTATCCATCACACAAGATTCAGTTAAAATAGATGAAACAAAGATTAAACAACTTTAAAGATTAGAGAGAAGATGGCGGACTGAATAGGGATCTTGGGAATTGAACAATAACCTGGCCATGAGTTCCCCGATGGTACAGTGGTACACTCTGGGCTGCTCACCACAAAGCCAGCAGTGTAAAACCACCAGGCACTCCATGAGAGAAAGCTGGGGTTGCTACTCTGGTTAAGGGTGACAGTCTCAGAAACCCACAGTGGCATTCCTTCCCTGCCTATAGGGTCGCTGTGAGCCGGAATGGACTTGATGGCAGTGGGTTTGAATTTACATCCTGTAATGGGTACTGTAGACGCCAGCAGGTCAGAATGCCAACAGTCACAGATGCAAAAAGGGCCTCCAAAGAAATGTCTGTTATCTTTCGCTAAACGAATGAGCAAAGGTCAACCTAGAAAGACAAACATCTTTTTATAATAATCATATTCACCCTATGCTAGCCAAGCACCACAGAAAAAAGCCAAAACAACAACAACAAAAAACCACTTCCCATCAGCAGAGGCCTATTGGGAAGCCAGAACTTCCAGATTACCACTCCCATTTGGCTGTAATAAGTGGTACACTCCTTTCTCCACCAGCATGATGTATGTCGGTGGAAGTCTGGGAAAATAGAATGCTTAAATGAGCTCTAAGGACTTATGAAAAAAACATCACTTGCCAAACCAAGAGCCAAGGAGATTTCAAACAATGCAGGGGGGGGGGGTAACGACAATGGACAGATGTTAACACTTGAGATGATAGATAGTGAATTATTTGCCAAGTACTTTAAAGCACCAAGTAAAAAGGAGCCCTGCTGGTGTAATGGTTGAGCGCTCAGCTGCCAACTAAAATGTGAGCAGTTCAAACCCACCAGCAGTTCCACAAAGAGATCTGGCAATCTAATCCCATGATGATTTCTGCTTAAGAAACCCTATGGAGCAGTTCTACTCCGTCCTATAGGGTCATTGTGAGTCAGAATGAATGGCACAATCTAAAACAGTCTCATAAAAATTCTTCAAGTACACCTAAAACAAAAGTTTTTAAAAGTCTCAAAAATTGGGATCAATAGCAAAATAGTTGACAGAGTGGAAAATTAGTGAACTGGTAATAAGACCAAATACAACTCCAAGAGAAGACATTGGAGAAGAACCAAGCTGGGTCTGTAATGAGCGCCCCATGTGATGCATGCCGTATTTACCCAGACTCACAAGGGGCCTCTCATGCCAAGTTTATGACTTTGCCACCATCTCATCGATTGAACTTGTATTGGCAAATACCTGATTTTTCCTTGGTTTTTATGTTTCTGCATCAAGAGATTAACAATAAATAATGTGATGCCATTACTTTGAAAAAAAAATTAAACTCATAATGAGATAGCACTACCCACCCAAAAAATCCACTGCTACTGAGTCAATCCTGACTCAGATTGACCCAATCGGACAGAATAGGATTTATGAAACTGTTCTAATTTTACAAGAGCAGGCAGCCTCATCCTTTTCCTCAGGATGCTTTCTTGTCAAATGGCTAACCAATTGCTAAATGCTGCCTGTTCAGGTGGCATTTCCTAGCAAGCAATTTTTTTTAAAAAAAACAACTATCCAATTGTATGTTGGTTACAAAATACACACCTTAGACTCAAAGAAACAATTAAGTTGAAAGTAGAAAGATAGAAAAAATATTCCATGCAAATAATAACCACAAGAGAGCTAGGGTAACAATTTGAATGCCAGACAAAGGAGATTTAAAACAAAATCTGTTCAAAGAGGTAAAGGTGAATATGGACATCATGTAGGGATAAAAAAGTCAATCAAGAAGATTCAGCAATCCTTATCACAATCCATACATCCATCCATTGTGTCAAGCACATTTGTACATTTGTTGCCCTCATCATTCTCAAAACATTTTCTTTCTACTTGAGCCC